TAACCCATGGGTCATGGAAATGAAAGGTCGTGACAATTAGGGTTTACATGGTGTAACCCTAATTGTAACATACTATATAAAGAAGCTATTATTCACCATTTTCGGCCACTAGAGTGAATCAAAGAGGGCTAGCCGAAAACCCAAGTGTTCTTATTCTCTTAGAGTTTATTCCAAGTGTACTTGGTGTTGTGTGAAGAATTAGAGGCATCACACTTGAGGTGCTAGGCTCACAAGGTTTCAAAGGAATCCAAGCTACAAAGAGGTATGTAATTCTTACTAACTATTAGAATAAAAGATCCCCATGTATGATAAATAGGATTATGAACCTTGGAAAATAATTTTGCATGTATCTTAGTCAAACATAGATCCAAGGTTTCTAGGGTTGCATGTACACCATAGGAGTGTTAGAATGCTCAAAACCCAACAATTTTCGCGTATACTTACTCGCTCCGGCTGATCATACACCCTGCATCCTCCTTTTTCTCATTTTGAAAACAATTTTAAAATTTATTTTGAAAATCCTTCCTTAGTTTGAGACTGGATTCCCACGAATGTTTCTCCAATTCACTCAAACCAAGGCTCTGATACCAACTTGTAACACCAATTAAAATCATGCCAAATTTAAAAAATTTTAAAACATATAAAACCAACAGTCATTACAAATTCGTTTTCAAAATAGTCTATATCAGAGTTTCCCAGAAAACAAAGTCATAAAAAGTGAGGAGCGGTATGATCATGACTTTGCCTTGCCACGGTCCCCTGAAGTACCTGAAATAATAAACTGAAATTGTAAGCCTGAGAGCTTAGTGAGTTCCCCCCAAAATACCCATACACACTATAATACACATATAATCATAAACAATATACTATAGGTTCAGTCAACCATCGGCTTGGAATACCCCAGGCCCCCAACCATCTGGTTGGAATGTCAACATACTATGGGTCCAATCATCCTCGTGATGGAATACCCCAGGCCCACAACCAACAGGTTGAATGCCTACATACTATGAGTCCAATCATCCTCGGGATGGAATACTCACGGCCCACAACCAATAGGTTGGAATGCCCAAGTCTATCGGCTTTCGCACAAAGCAGATAAGCCTCAACCGCAAAACACACATGTGCACATATAATAGGTAATCACATAACAGTCTATAGACAACAAACTAATCTAACAGATTATACCACATAACACATAATACCATCATATTTACCAGGATACCGATCTAACAGATCATGCTACATACGATATAATACCATCCTATCTAACAGGATACCGATCTAACAGATCATGCCACATACCACATAATACCATCCTATCTACCAGGATATCGATCTAATAGATCATACTAGCATAACATATCCAGATATCAGTCAAAAGAGTAGGCCTTGTTGCTTTAGACCCTTGAGTATAGTGAGGATAACTCACCTTGCAACTGTCGACTCGAAAGATAAGCTCAGACTCTCGGATCACCACCATAAACTCCACCACCTATATTCACCATAGAACCATATTCATAAATTTCCAATTTCCCAAAATGCCCCAGAAGTCAAATAGTCATCCCATGGTCAAAGTCAAAGTCAACGATCAAGGTCAATAATCCAGGTTGACCCAACTCATCGAGTGCAGTCACTGACTCGTCGAGTCCTTCCAGAACTCGAGTAGTCGTGAAAACCCCCCACTGACTCGTCAAGTATCCCTGCAACTCGCTAAGTCCAAGCATGTCCAAAAGTCGGGAAAAACCAAAGTTGACTCGCGGAGTCACCTCTCTAACTCACCGAGTCCATGCAGAAGTCCTTGCACGACCATTTTCATCGGACTCGCCGAGTTGACCATGCTACTTGCCGACTCTATTCAGTCCATTATCCATTAAGATGCTTTTTAAGCCATTTTAAGGTTCCATATTGCGTATCCAGCTTCCCAAGGCATGTTTATCACGTAAAGTTGCAAACTTTACGTGCATGCAAAGCTTATAATGCTAAAACTAAGCTTGCAATTGATTTTTACACTTAAGGAGAGGCTCATACTTGCTAAAGCTGAAAGCTTTATGGGCTTAGAGACCAAAGAGAGTTCAGATATGAAGTTACAACTTCAGATCTTAGCTCATACCCAGGAATAGCTTCTTATCATGCTAGTAAATCCCTAATCTTTAACCAAATGAGATCTATAATGAAATGAGGACAAGGTAACGACTTGATACCTTCCAAAAGATGCTAACTGAGGTAGATATCAGATCCCCACACGTTCCTTGCTTCTAGCCTCTTGCCCTCCAAGCTCTTCTTACAAAGATCCACCTTCCAAAGCTTAAAACACACAAGAATGAAACACACACACGGATTAGGGTTTTCTGGACTCTCAAGAGGCTGTAAGGGGGCTAAAGGAGGTTTATGATCCATTAAATAGGGTGCAAAACCCCAAAATTTAGGGTTTCATCCTCTAGCTCCTACTCGTCGAGTCCATTCTTGGACTCGGCGAGTATGTCACTTAAACACATGGCCCAACCCGCTTCTACTTGACGAGTCAGGGCATCCAACTCGTCGAGTAGACCTTACAATTTATGAAACTTAAAGCTATAAAATTATCACCTGAGAGTCGGGGCGTTACAGCTTCCCCATAGAATTCGTACATCCCTTCTTTTGGGTTCCTCAACCCATATTGCAATTATCACATAATTACAATATCAATCCTCTTAATTTAATCAATCTCTTTTGACCACAAAATTAATTCTTGACCAATATTAATTAAATAATATGATTTCTCTTTTAATATGTTATTCATATAATATATTAATAAACCATAATAATCTTTTTCTCCATTATTCACTCAGTCAAGTTGCTTTAGTGAAGGCAACCCAAAAGAACCATGTTACGACTGGGTCAAATACATACCAAATACAGTTATGGATTTAGACACTTAATCAAACAATAACAACTACACCCACCAGATATATACACATATAATAATTTTTTTTATTAAACTGTGGCTCCACATGAAAACAGTTGGCCCATTCCAAAGCTCTCTCTCTCTCTCAAAAAAAAAAAAAAAAAAAAAAAAAAAAAAAAAAAAAAAAAAAAAAAACCCAAAATGGCCCCACACTCTTTAACAATTAGTGTTGTTTGCCGGAACCAATGTTTTAAAAATCGGTTTGAACCGGCCGGTCGAACCGGATTGAACCGGCTGGTTCTTAAAAAAACCCGGTTGAATCGGTTAAAATGAACCGGTTAATCCGAATAAAAACATATGAAAAAATATTATTTACATAATAAACTTTGGTATTTTTTTTCAAATATATTTAGTTTTCTCTAAATAAAAACATATATTAAATGTTATAAAGTTTTTTGATGTGGTTGTATTCATCTAAAACTATATTTCGTTCCGGTATTATATTTTATTTTCTTTTTAGTGTATATCGATTGATGTAAAACACTAAAACTTATGATTATGTGTTATTTTAATGTATTTTGATTCATTTACAACTTATTTTTATGTATATTTTTAATGTTTGAACTTTTAAATATCAAATTCATAATTTATATATGTATGTATGTGTAGAAAATAGAAAAAAACATAAAAAATATAGAAACCGGTTAACTCAGCATTCGAGCCGGATGAACCGGAAACCGGTCACCATACCGGTTCAACTAAAAAATCGGTTTTTAAAACATTGTATTTCTATATAAGAAAGAGCACATACAAATATAATAAAAAAGAACCCTGGGTAGCCGTCAAAGTTGGTTATTTTCATATTGCGAGATCTGGTTTCTTTTATGTATTATAATCAATGTTTGTGTAATTTGAGATTTATTTGGTTATTATGTGGTTTAATTATATGATTTCACAAGTAACCAATAATGTAGTTTTCTATTTTATGTAATTAAGTCTTGGACTCTTTGTTAGTGGCAGATCCAACACAGAACTCAAGTGGGGATGTATAGTTGATCGTTGATTGTGTAAATTAATTAAAATGAAATTTAAAAAGTAAAAAGTAGACAAACATTAAAACATTCACCAAATATCATTTTTACAGCTGAAATCTACGAGGACACATAACCAAGAAATAGTTGATAATATTTTCATTCGTAACCAACAAAGCCAATGATAATTTCACCAACGGATAAATCAAAGTTACAATTAATGAATGCATATTTACCATTACATTTGTAAATAGCAAAAGCAATCACATTTATAAGTTACAATTAATGAATGCATATTTACAATCACATTTGTAAATAGCAAAATCAATCACATTTAAATGGTTTTCTTTAGAGAGGTGGGTGTGGGCAACGCCCACACGAGTTACTAGGCTAAAAAACAAAAACAAAAAACGTTGTTACAAAATGTGATGGTGGTAACGGGAAGTAACGTGAAAGCCTTTAACATGAAATAACGGGAGGAAAGGGGCAGTGTTCATTGGCGTTATCACGTGTTGTGAGGCACAATGCCCACTCCGAGTAGTCTTAGTAACTCATTCTATATTCACTCTATTTTTTTAAAGTGTTTTCATTAAATTAGGTTGATAAATGAATCCATATTTAAAATTACATTTCCTATAATTAGAATAATCATATAACCCTTGTATTTGGTTTCTTTTTCCATTATTGCATAAAAACAAAATACTACTTAACTATTTTCTTCTTTTTATATAGATCCACCGATTCACTAACATAAATATAAAATTTAGAAAAAAAAAAAAAAAAAGTCAACAAACAAACAACTAATCATTCATCAAAACAATAATTAAAAAAAAAAAACTCAGTTAAATCTTTCACTAATTATTATTTCATCCCAAACATAACACAAAGTGAACTAATAACCTCTTAAAAAATCTATAGCAGTTCCGGCAAACAACACTAAGGTGTTTATTTCATATATATATATATATATATATATATATATATATATATATAATATATATATATATATATATATATATATATATATATATATATATATATATATATATATATATATATATATATATAGAATACGTGTTTGTATCCTTCAATAATGGAAACACTACCACTAAAAATCAAAGAAATGTAAAAAGTATTTGGTTGTAAAAACTACATAATGTTTTACCTAATAAAACCCTAAGACATGGAAAATGTGAAATCTCGTTGTAGATTCTTGTTATGATCATTAGCATGATATGAACCTTCTGCATCAGAGATATCTGCCTCTGAAGTATAAGTTCTTGGAGATGATGGAATGTCAATTTCACTCTCAGCTGTGGATGATCGATATTTTTGGTTATGGAGGAGATGAACAGGCGATGATTCACGACTTGGTGTATTTTCCAAGCCAGAATTTGAAACATCCACCGATCTGCCACCAAGCTCTCTCAATTTCTTCTTGTCTTTTGCGGCCTTCTGCCATTTCTTTAGAGCTTTGGAAGTTTGTTCTTCAAATATCGACCTTTTCATGTGCGATCCCATCTTTAAATTTCAAATAATAGTACAATCATTAACTAATTAGTTAAGTAATTCTATTTGTTTATTTACTAAATTAATAATGTATCATGTTTAATCAGGTTCATGTTTCGATAAAACAATGACACTTACTTGTGTGACTAAGGCGTAAAGAGGGAAAGTGATGTAGCTACACATGATATGAAGAAGCACCCCCAATCCAACTCTAACACCAATTTGCACTATGCTCTCATGGTAACATGAGTGTATTCCAAATTCGTACTGAAAACAACCAACATATTTTTAGAAGCATAATGAACTATATTATAAAAATAAAAAATGAATTCTTCAAGCATTAAAACTATATGAAACGCATGATTTTTTATGTAAATATAGAGGTACTTACCACAGTCCATAAGAAAAACGCCATTTGAAATGCATTCTGCAAACGAATATAAAATCAAATAAATTAAATAAATAATACCCAGTTGGATTGTAGAGTGCCATCTTTTGTATATCCATAATAATCAATCTTGTTTACTACTTCATAGCTGTAAACATTAGTACGATATTTTCATAGTCAAGTGTCTCTATGATTTTATACATGTGTATATATTTTCTAGCCACATGTTTTGAGGTTAAAAGATTAAAATATATATATATATATATATATATATATATATATATATATATATATATCTGACAAAAAAATTCCTATCAGTTTAACATTATTTAAAATTAAAAAACAAATACCAGTTATAATGATATATTCTAACAAGAATATAATTAACATATGTAATATATATTCTTATCACAATATTCTAATATGCCAAAATTTGAAATGTTAATAATATTCTTATATGAATATTACAAATAGTATTTATTATAAGTAATATCGTTGTTAAAATATTAAGTAGAACGGTGATTTTTAAATTTTTATATTTTTTTACATATTTTTTGTATTTAAAAATAACAAAAACCAAAGGTAAACATTTTTACAATTATTTCGCCCCCAGGATATATGGCCCGAAGCACGTCACACAACAAGATGAGTGGTGTCATTTGAATCAGTACGTATAATATATTGTTGTATGTATTTTGTGGTTTAATTTTTAATTTTTTCTATTAATGCACTTTACTCTATAACTTATTAAATCCAAATATTATAAGAAGATTTTGTGTAATATTTGAATTATTGCTGCTGAAAAATTAAATACTATTATAATTTTATTTTACTTACTTGAAACAAAGTAAAATGGATCAAGAAAAGGACCAATCGGGGGCTATTGAACCAAAAGAATTTGTTGCTTGGCTCCACCACCGGGGCTCCTCGAACAATTGTTGCCTTATCTTGGATTTGTTGAGCCATTTCCATGATCACTAGTTCGAGTTTTGTACCCACCAATAGAAGAATCTATAAAATACCAAGCTAATAAATTTAGTTTTACGGCTGATAACTTAATCATAAGCAGTCACAGTCATCGTAACTTTATTAATTTGTTTCGGTGCTGAATATCATATTTTTTACATTCAATAAAACTTAAAATGTATAAAAATGGTAGTTCTACCACTAATGGGACGAAGGAGAGATAAGTAAGCGCATGCCATTCTGCATAAATATAAAAAACAATGATATCATCAGTCTTATTTACGTTTTGTTGCATGTATAAAAATGATAATGTAGATTACACACATACATGCATACGTACAAATACATACATCATATGTGTATAAAAGTATACCATAGCCCTTCTCATAGGGGCCCATAAATTTGCCGACAAATTTTACTCCATGTTACATAATAGTTCCATGGTCCCAAAGCATCAAAAAATGTATCTTTAATGTGATTCGGGTATGAATTGTGTTAATTTTTTTGGTTGAAAATGTCATTCGGTTGAACTTTTCTCTAGAATTGGTTTTATTTTTATGGTCAAATTGTTGAATAACTTGTCACATAAGTGAAAATGTACCACTAAATAGTTTATTTAATGGCTAAATTAGGCAAATACTAACACAATGGGACTCTATAATAGTGTAATATTTGTTGATTTGTTTGTATTAATTCATTGTTTGTGATTGAGTTTGTCAATTGCCACCTATCTTTTTTTATTTGTATATTTTTTATTTGGGTTTTCATTTGTTTTTATTCTTTTTAGTGATTTTTATAGTTTCAAGGGAAAATGGAGAAATGAACAATAGTAACTGAGACAACAATAGCCATATGACGTTTTGTTTCATTATCATTTATTAGTTAATTTTATATGCTGATTTTGTATCTAAAAATATAAAAAGAATGATTTTTCATAACTAATAGATTATTATAAAATTTTCATATTTATTGGGCTTTATTTCTTGCCTCACCCTAGGCCTAAAAATGTTTGGACCGGCCTATAAATATATAGAGATATTTGTAAATATATGGATGTGTATAAGATTCCTATATTGAAATTTGTTTTAAAGAACAAATAAAATATCTTAAACAACATAAGGCGTATATATATATATATATATATATATATATATATAATATATATATATAATATATATGTTGTGTGTGTGTGTGGTGTGTGTGTGTGGTGTGTGTTGTGTGTGTGTGTGTGTGTGTGTGTGTTCAAATGTGGATTGACATCTATTGTGTGTATGTGTGGATAATGTTATTTTGTGAGAACAACAAAGAAAATATGTTGTTTGATAATATAAATACGTTCAATCTTACATATTGTCATTATCACACATTCTCGTTAATTAAATCGTCTATAGTGTTGTCTGAATGCTTATTGAGTCGTATTCTGTCAGAATTAAAATGAGTGAAAAACTATGTGTGAGGACAAAAATGAATAAGAATTAATGAGAACGTATAAAAATGATGATATTTTTGTAAGTGTCAACGTATTCGCATTACTAAACAACTTATTCTCTTATTAATGTTCATAGAATAGCACTGTCCACACAATAATTGTTCATCCACATTATAACCCCTATATATATATATATATATATATATATATATATATAATATATATATATATATATATATATATATATATATATATATATATATATATAGAGAGAGAGAGAGAGAGAGAGAGAGAGAGAGTTAACCGTAAACATTTAGTAGTAGAAAGATGATCGAGAACATCCAGAGTGGGATACTGAAAAAGCAAGATCATACATATGAATCAATATCTTTAAGAACATAAGGCAAATATAGAAAAGACTAACTTATTAGTTTTAAACTCTTTATAACGAAAAAGCAGATACTCTTTGTTTACCATTTGAATATACGTAATTATTACATCAATACTTGTATCATATACAAAGAAAAATACACTATATTACATACAATTATTAGATCAATACTAGTTGTTAGATCAAAAAGGTTCCTTCTCTATTTCCTCCTTGCAATTACGGACAGAACATAGATGGTAGCATTGTTGACCACTAATCCATCATGATGTGTACGAATAAGGGAAAGGAAACTTATTGTTATGGAGAGATCAACAACATTGATTACCTATAAATGTCAATTTATAAACGTGGGACAGATATCACGTCCTGACGTCCCGTTATGACATTTTTTATCACTACAAGCCTAAGGCTTGAGGGAGTGGTGCGGTAGAGGGAGCGCGGTTTTGTCACATAAGCAGCGAACACTGCCCCCAGGGTGCGGTTTGGGTGCGGTTCGAACCGCAGTGCAGCAAAAAATGACCGTAGCTTGTGATTGGGTGGGGATAATTTGACTAGCTTGTGATTGGTTGGGGAGAAATTAAAGTTTTTATTTAAATTAATTTTTTTTTTTAAAATAAAGTGTGGCACACTCCTTCGGTGTGGCAAAGAACCGCACTTTTGTGGTAAAAATGACGTGACGCTTACGTGGCAACGAAGGGAGTGCGGTTTCGGTGGCACCACACCCTCCAGCCTAAAACTCAATTTCATATTTTTTTTTAGAGTGCTTAACGGTAAAAGAGATTCAGGGTATTCTTACTAGGCTATTTCGGTTAGAGGTGGCAAAAATTGACACGACATGGAACCTGACATTAAAATAAACGGGTTTAGGTAAGATATTTCAACCCGTTTAAATAAAGGGTTGATACGACACAACATGAAAATTAAATGGGTAAGGTTAGGGTTGAGAATTTCAACTCAAATATGACTCGAAAATGACCCGTTTATTTATATGCAAGTTTTTTGAATTATTTAAATAAACTAGAAAGATACAAACCAAAACCATAAGTAAAAGAAAACCTTAGAATTGAATTGTATTGTAATTGTAAAATGACTTAGTCGTCTAGATCAAAACTTCATTTCAGTTTTTTCATTCTCTCCCACACTACCCAGTCTCTTTCACCACTCTTACATCCTCATGACCTTGTCATCCACCTCTTCAACTCCCACTTTTTTGATTTTGTCATCTGAACTTGCTATGACTTCATCTATTCTGCTTCAAAACTATTAGTTTTTCCTTTCCGCCTACCCAACTCTACTCTTTCAACATGCTCAATATTTTAACCTCACATGACACGACATATTTCAAGGTATAGCCCTAACCCGAAACCCGAAATGAACTCGACACGAAAAATAAACGGGTTGACACGACACGACACGTTAATTAAATGAGTCGGGTTAGGGTCAAACACTTTCAACCCGTTTAGTGTTTCGACACGACATGACACGATTGCCACCTAATTTCGGTATTCTTCCCGGTCCTTTGATGATTTGGAGGTGCCTAATTGTTTGTGTATCAACATCAAAGAGGGAAGGGTTATCACAATATTATTTTGCTAGCATTCATGTGGGTGATTAATTTGGTATGACAGAAACATGTGAGATTTTAATTTGTTGGTCAGAAGTAGCTTTGAATTAGCTAGTAATGTCCCTTTTTGACCTTTCATTGGTTTAAAAACACACTTAGAAACTTTACTCTCTTAATTGGGGTATGTAACCTGACTTTTAACTGCAAAAATCTCTTGTAATTCTAGCTTCTCTAGCTTTTAAATTTTATAAAAAACTGTATTACACAAAATATAAAAGTATGGCTTGATAATTATGGAAGTAAATACAATCTTAGTTAGGTTAGCATTATTATAACTTACCATGCTATAACCTATATCTAATTTTATATAATAAAAATATGGAATGATGACACTTGTCATAATCTTATTGGGTAGGAACATTTGTAGGCATAAAAAATAGGAAGCAATTTAATTTCTCATTCGGAAAACTCAAACATGTTACCACTAACACACACAAAACAACACCGAATTATCGTCAATTAATTTTCGTAAGTCCGTAGAACAAAATTTTAGAAAGAAATAAACATTGATACCGAAGTAGTAAATAATTTAAAATCATTAAGAATTAAATAACTTTGGTTAGTTTTTTGTATTGCCATCAAAATAGTTTGCTTTATTATTATTATTATTATTATTATTATTTATTTATCCGGAAAAAAAAAACAATGATATTCTATATGAAAGCAATAACAAATTTAAATTTATCTTTTTGAAGGTTAAGAAATCGTTGACATCTGGAAAATTTGACATGTTTAAAGTTTCAATAAAAGGCATTAGAGGAAGATAATAACCTTATACCCAAAACTGACTTGAAGTCATCTTCCATTGATCTCTTGATGTACTTATGGAAATCAAATTTGCTACTTGGAGCAAAATGTGCCTGCATTTTGAGAAATATATATGACTAAACATTTCCCCCATAATTAACAACTAAAACCGATAGTAAACAAGGTTGAATAAATCGTTAATTTGACATATACATGTTGTATGTTTGTTATTCTCTTATTTTAAAAGGCACTGTTTCAAACATTAATTAATCGACAATTTGCACGTAAAATATTTGAAATGGAGTAATACTATTATGATCACGTACTTTTTCAAAATCCATGTTGATTTCGAGTGAGCATATAAAACAAATAAGGTAAGGAGTGTTGACTTACATTTATGAATCCATTACGAATGGTCAAATAATCAACCTTTGAGATAGATCCAAAAAACTGTCTAAAAAATGCCACCTGTTTCAAGTTAAAATTCCATTAGATCTTGATAGATGGTGATCACAAATGAAAAATATAACATAGAAGATCTACGATATAAAATTATAATTGTAATTTGATTTGTAGAAAGTTAAATTATCTATTTTTCTTATCTTCATTATTATAAATCAATTGAAGGGAACATTGATCTTGATTTTAGTGTCATCAATAATTTATTGTAGTCAAGATTATATCCGAGACAAATTTAGTTTTATTTAGTTTTATTTTGAGAATGAGGTGCAGAGTGCACACATAGATAGCTAATATGCACTCGAAACACAAAGGTCCCAAGGGAGTGGCCTAGTGGTGTTCCAAGAGGTATTGCCCCTGGCGGGATCTAGAGGCAGCGTCTTAATGTGGTCGTAGTGTTCCGGTGTGACAAAATAATTCATATAGTGAAAAATGACATAATCAAATTTTTCTGTCAAAAACCTAAAGAGTACGCCTTATCTAAAGTGGCGCGCTTTCAACCTTAATAGTTAATATTGTCCCCTTCTTGATATATAATAAGGATTTTGACGTTGCACACGATAGAGAACATTGAAAATAACTATTTATTATCTTTGTAATATTTGTCTCAAGAGAACATAAATAAAGCAAGGTATTCTTTATTGGAATCTTAAATTTTGTATTGTGGGTTCGATCTTTCTTGGATTATCTAAATCGGATTTTGTGATATTCCTAGACGATAGGGTCGAAATCATAAATTTTAAAAAACATTTTCTATACATGATTCTTGAATTATTCAAGTATTTTTGTTGATATTCAAACCCAAAATCTAATAAAACTTTTGTTTTATTTTATTCAATGTTAATGTGGAACTTTAATAGGTCGTTTAACAATTTTACATTATAGATACTCATATTGTTTCTTATAATATATTCCTTTCTGAAGTAAACATTGGCAAGCTCATAGTATATTACACAACTTTTACTTGAGAATTCATATGTTTTTGCATTTATTTTATATAAATAAAAAGAAGTTTACACTTACCACCCATCTTATTCCGGGTTTTGTTGAAAGGCCCGTGTGTCGTTTAACAAAGGAGGTTTGATGAGCAAACCGAAATCTTGCGGGATCTAAATGCAAAAGCAAATAAATAAATAACATGATGGAGCTCCAATTTAACTTGGATCAAGCTACGGGTCAACCTGGTTACGTGTTGCTTTTCATTTGCTACCGTACAGTCCAAAAGCTAGCAGGAGATTTTGATTTTGATTTTGATTTTGATTTTGATTTTAATTTTTTTGGAACGCAAATCTAATTTACTTGTAATTTCACTTATGTACTTTTTCCTCAAGAAAAAACGAGTTTTATTTTGATTGAATAGAGAATTTTGTATGAATCTATTTTGTAAGAGACTTATTTATAAAAAAAAATGCCTTGGAAAAAATAATTACCGTTTGTGAACTCGTACTCCAAAGAAGTAGTTTCTGCTTCCCAAGCCTTCCATTTCTTCATCTAGATATCAACCCCAATAAAATCAATAAATATAATATTACAGTAATAATAAAAATTTAGTATCCAAATAGTTGATAAACTGACCATACTAAATAAAATATATATCTTATTACACACACATCTAATATATGATATTTTAGTTTTGATCCGTGAATATTTATGTCATTCGTTTCATTACAAAGAAAATTACTTTAACAGTTTAATATGAGAGAGAGTTACTTTTGCGAGGCCAAGACCAATGATAACGACACTATAAAGAATATGGAAGACGGCAAGAACAAATATGAATATATGAAGCTGGTGAACGGCCGAATATGATATCATCTGCACCATTCCCTGAACATTCAAAACTTAATTCATTAATTAATTAATTCTAATTAACTAAATTAATTAATTAAAACTTTAGGAATACTACAATTCATTGATTTCCTATCAACAGATAAGAAAAAGTTGGACAACCCACAAAATTTCCATACCTTACCACAGGTACCAACGTCATCACTTGATGCAGCTAAAACTCGCCGGAATATCATTTCTTCAGCTAAATTAAGTAATTTCCGGCGACTTTTTCCTTCATGATCTTTGTTATCATCATCATCACCACTACCATCACCTTTGCTTTTATAATATTCTGGTTTACATGGAAGCATCTTGTATCCTATCTTTTCGGGAACACATATCTTTGCAATGTATGATGTACCCACCGTTAATAGTAACGATAAAAACCCTAATAGCATGAGCTCTGGATTCATAGTAACAAATCACAATCGTTAATTATAGGTAAATGAGTTAATTAATTGCATGTATGTTGATCAATGATTACAAAAACTCCATGCATTCTAAATTTAGAGAGCTTGTTCTACCAATTTCATAGGCTCATGAGGTGCAATTTTAAAGCATTAATTGGGCAAATATTCGAAATTTCCAGTGATAAAGAAAGCTTAAGCGAAACATATGTTCAGCAATAATAAAAGAATTAAAGAAAACAAATGAACGAAAATTGATATTTTAGATTATGATAAGGAAACTAAATTCAAAGCTTATCGAAAATATATATGTGAGAGTGTTATAAAAAGAAATTTAAAACAAAAAATGTTATTAATTTAATAAGTGTTAATTTGTTTATTTATTTGAGTATACTTAATTATAATATTACCTGCTTTTATTTTCTCCAACGCTTCAAGCATTGCTTTCTTCTGCTTTTTTTGGAACCACTGCATGCATGCAACATCAAATGGTCAAAGGATCAGAGGGAACGTTCTAACCATATATATCATACTTGTGGTTAATTTGTCAAAGCTTACTGATGCTTTTCCAATCTAGCAATAATACTGATTAATTTTAAACTAAACTTCAAAAACCATATATACTATACCTTCCCAATTGAATGAATCCCATGTTCAATTATGACAGAGATGATAACAAAGACTGTACAAACCAGTGCCACCGCCCAAGTTGGTGTTTGCTCCAGTGATCTCTCGTATGATGACCCCGCCGCCATTCAACTCCTACCACAAACAACTCCGGTGACCACCACGGTAAGACTTATTTGCCTTTTCTGGTTTGTGAGAACAAGAATGCGCATGGACTATACAAGATTGACAGTGGACAAATATATGGGAGAGAAAAGCAAAGTAAAGCAAATAAATAATGAGGCACAAAGCGTGTTAATGAATTAACAATATGATACTAAGAAACATTCTGAAATGGTCAATAATATTGTCGTTTCACTTTTATGTTTGGAAGTTAGGTTTTGTTTTGTCGAGAATACCTATTCGAATGTATAAAATTGACTTTGTTATTTATAAATTCATTAAAATTTATGGTTTTTATTAAATATTTTAGATTAATATTAAACTATTGATTGTACACAATTTACCATTAAACTCTCTCAAATGTTTAAAAACCATGTTATAACCGAGTATCGTAGGATATCACTTGCTTATTTGGAAAAAATAAATTAAAAATGTAAATTGATTGATTTTGATATTATGTAGATATGGTTGGAGACTTGAGACTTGAGAGGGTAATGTGATATCCTGTGTGCACACATTTAGTCACTAAATTATCATTTGTACACGATTTACCATTAAACATTTTTCAATTGTCCAAAAACAACCATTAGGGTCGGAATTGTAGATAAACTTTGGTTTTGCATCTATGTGGCGGAGATGGGTCTAATATAAAATTGAGACTTATACTCAATTTGTAAGTCATCTAACATGCATCTTTTGTGTGAATGAGATACCACTTATTTGTAGGTTGTGGTTCAACTCATTCTAGGTAAGTAGTTTTAGAAATGAGATAGCACTTGTTTGTAGGTTCTTAATCATTTATAGGTAAGTGGTTTACATTGATTTTATATTTGAATGTATATGTTTTATAAATGAGATACCACTAATTTCCAAGGTTTTCTCTAGTCCAAGATGTTCTAATTCGATAGGTGTAACAGTCTGAAAGTACAAGAACGATCTGATGCGCAAGGACAAGGTTTGAAAACTCAAACCTTGAATGAATGCTTAAGATCAATGTTTGCTTGCTAATATGAGCTCCAGTCAAGTCTAGCAAGACCGGTCAAGTCTTAATAGATTCACTTAACAAAGTATTGAAAATATAAATGAAGAGAGAAGATAATGATCAAGGCAAAGGTATTAAATGAAGAACAAGAAGAATGTTTTTGAGAGAGTTAAAGCAACTTAATAAATGCCAAAAAGTATAAAGATCCGTCTTTGACTTTGCATTGAAAGCTCCTTTAAATAGGAGTGAAGATTACATTGAATAAACTAAGAAACTAACATAGGACCGGACAATAGAGATGTTCCTGACATTCTGATTGTCTAACATTACAAAAAGACTAAGTTCTATGAAGTGTCAAATCAGTACAAAGAAAAATATCATTAAGTACATAAAGATAAAATACAATGACTCCGGATCAGTATACATTCCGAACATGATGTCCATTTCAGAATGTCTTCACTTCTGAACTTATCACCACTTTGGAATAGGGACTTAGGATTGCTAGATTTTCACTTTCAGGTTCCAACAATCTCCCCCTAAGTGAACTTAGCAATCCAGTCATCTTAGATCGCTTCTTCCTTGATGAAGATGTAGGCTCTGAGCAACCATTCTCGGACTTCAATATATATATATATATATATATATATATATATATATATATATATAAACATGTATATTCATTTGTGATTCCATGTATTCATTTGTGGAGAAATGATAAATTTTTACGTACAATCAACATGAATATGTTTTTTCTCTTCAATTGAAATTAAAGGCGTAAAAATTTATCATTTCTCCACAAATGAATATACTTTGTTCTCGCGTTCTCAACCTTTTTGGTGTTCTCATTTGATCTTACTCATATATATATATATATATATATATATATATATATATATATATATAATATATATATATATATATATATATATATATATATATATATATATGTTTATTCAAAAACATAAATATTTTGTGAAAATACCAAAACAAATTTATGTACTTTAGAAATTAAATTTATTAACAAGATAATAATTTTACATGGAAGAGTGTTAAGTTTATAAATTTTAACGCATATCTTTTGTTAGTCTTACATTGCTAGGGATGAAAAATGTGGCGCTCCTCATCTCTATATAAAGTTTCTCAATAAATGATTAGCACTTCTCATCCAAGTCAAAGTAACTCGCTTAGTTACCTAAGTTTTATTAAAAGGCAAAAAAAATAAAAAAATAACGATGCGGTTTCTAAACTTCAAAATACTAAAGTTGCGATTTTCGGTTCGGTTTTCTCCGAAAACCGCATCGAACCGCTCGATGTTTACCCCTATTATAAAGTCATTAAAATTTATAGCTTTTATCGAATATTTAGGTTAATGACTTGATAGGGTAGTTTATTATCTCCCATTTAAACATTTAATCACTAAACTATTGTTTGTACACAATTTACTATTAAACTCTATCAAATGTTTATAAACGAGTATTGTAGGTTATGTCGGCTAACTTGCTTATTTGTAAAAAATAAAAATAAATGTAAATTATGTTGATATTTGATATTACGTGTATATGGTTAAAGACTTAAGAGGGTAATGTGATATCCCTTATGTACACATTAACTCAGCAAACTGTCTTTTGTACACGTTTTACCATTAAATATTTTTTAGTTGTCCAAAACTACCATTGAGATCGAAATTGTAGGTAAACTTTTATTTTGCATCTATGTAGAGAAGATGGATCTAATATATAATTGAGACTTATATTCAATATGTAAGCCATCTAACATGCATCTTTTGTGTGAATGAGATACCACTTATTTGTAGGTTGTGGATGAACTCATTCTAGGTAAGTGGTTTTAGAAATGAGATAACACTTGTTTGTAGGTTCTTAATCATTTATAGGTAAGTGGTTTGCATTCGTTTTACATTTGAATGTATATGTTTTTTAAATGAGATACCACTAATTTTGAAGGTTTTCTCTAGCCCAAGATGTTCTAATTCGATAGGTGTAGCAGTCCCCCTAGCACGTATCACAATATTATTCGTTTTGGGCTCCCGCCTGAAAACTTCCTTGGGGATCACCCATCCAGGAATAACTTTCTCTCGGACACGCTTAACTGTAGATTTCTTATGAGATATGTTGCTCTCACGGATTTAATACGTGTTCTGATAGGGAAGGTATCTACACCCCTTACAAGGAATGCTTAGTTCTCCTTCCCAATCGATGTGGGATCAGGTGTAGGTAACCACCAACCTTCACCCCCCCCCCCACCCTTGTAGGGTTTGATGTCTCCATCAAACGCATCGACACATGCCCTAGCTCTGCTACCATTCGTAACATTCCCCTCTGGCATGTATCACAATAATTTCCGCTTTGGGCTCCCAACAATAAAACTTCATAGGGGATCACCCATACAGGAATTTCTATCGCACGTGCATGATTAACTACAAAGCTCTTATGAGATTTGTTGCCCTCACAGATTTAAAATGTGTTGTGATAGGGAAGGTATCCACACCCCTTACAAGGAATGCTTAATTCTCTTTCCCAACCGATGTGAGATCAGGTGAAGGTAACCCCCCACCTAATTGTTTTGAGTAGGCATGTGGCTACATGCACTTGATCCCACATTAGCTGGGAATGAGAAAAAAACATTCCTTATGAGAGGTGTTGATATTATCCTTGCCACAACACATTTAAAGCCACGAGGCACAAAATCCCCTAAAAACTATGCAGTTAAGCGTGCTCGAGCGAGAGTGGTACCGGGATGACTGACCCCTGGGAAGTCCTCATGTCGAGTGGCCCAAAGAGGAAAATATTGTGATACATACTAGAGGGGGATGTTACAAATGGTATCAAAGCTAGGGCACAAGTCGATGTTTTCAATGGGGACGGTGAACCCTATAAAGGGGTTAAAGGTAGTTGGCTACCTACATTTAATCCCACATCAGCTTGGAAGGAGAATTAAACATTCCTTATGAGGGATATGGATACATTCTTTATCACAACGTGTTTTAAATTTGTGAGGGCAACATATCTAATAAGAACTATGCAGTTAAGCATGCTCGGGCGAGAGTAATATCGGGATGGTGACCCCTTGGGAAGTCCTCATGTCGAGTGGCCCAAAGCGGATAATATTGTAATAGTGCCAATGGGGTATGTTACAATAGGTTACGCCACAGATGCATGGTAAAAGTCATGACGTGGAGACATGTTTGAGTGGCAGGAAATGTGTTGTGTTAACAAGACACTTGGCAACTGCGATGGAGATTTATGGCTTGGCATGTGACCCCTTAGGTGATGTGACATGTCTTTTAAACCATATATATGGGGTTCGTTCAATGAAACATGGAATTTTTACCCAGGAAGGGAAAAAGATGATGTTAAGAGATTCCTTTAGAATATTGAATATATGATTCTTATGAGAATATTATTCAATTTCTTATTCCTATGGGAATATGAATACGTGATTGCTATACGAATACCATTATATGTGTAACACCATATTCTGAAAGTATACGTTTATGGATTTCAGAGGCCAAGGCTAAGGGCATTTCGGTCTTTTATGGGCTTGAGTTTTTATTCAAGAGGTTTTGGTTCTGGATGTGTCGCTAGAAGCATACGGCTTCTCGTCGCCTATTTGTGGATATAATGTCCGTTGGAAACGGACTTAGAACGAATGAATTATAATGATTTGAAGTTGTTGACATTAATGGTCCCTTAATGGGAAAAGTTGGCAAGAAGAGCCAACTCGTCGAGTCCTTACTCTTACTTCCTTGATTCCACTTGCTAATACTCGTCGAGTTTTGGCGCAAACTCGGCGAGTTCCTCTTCGCTACTAACACTCTGACAATCTGCATCCGACTCGCCGAGTTGTATGAACAACTCATCGAGTTCTCCTTCATCAGATGACTATTCTAGCTGTGACTCGCCGAGTTGTATGAACAATTCGTCGAGTCTGTTCTTGAAGTATGAAGATGGCCTTGGACTCGCCGAGTCAGGGCAGTGACTCGCCGAGTTCTTCCACGAATGAGTCTAACCCTATAGCTCATCGAGTCCACTTCTCACTCACTGGTTCCACTCGGCATAACTCGAAAAAGGAAACACAAGGGACTCGCGACTCGACTCGCCGAGTTAGAAAAACGACTCGC